CGGGGCTCGCCACGGCCGCCCGCCCTGGACCGCTGCGCCGGTCCTTTGCCGCCGCCCAGCCTGGTGCTCCGAGAGCCGCCCTTCTCAGGGCCAAACAATAGGTGCAGCTGCTAGGAAGCGCAGGCAAATCGCATTTACGCTCTTTAGAAACTGGGATTTAATTTGCATTTACTGCAGTAATGCACTTACTGACTTAGGAACAGGTGAGCCTGCCCACTCTTCCCATTTAGCACTACACTACCGCCGTCAGCAGACCTTGGAAGGAACTTCTCCAGCCGGGGTACGTGCCTCCTGTGCAGTGAGCAAGCCCACACCTACCCAACAGGAGAGTAAGCACCGCCACTTTGTGAAATCTCTCATTTAGCAGAAAGCCCGAGTCTTTGTTAACTTTATAACTGCCAGCAGCCATGATACCTTTCTGCCAGAGACAACCTTTCATCAATGTCAGCGTACACATCCAAAACACTTCCAGCTTAGAACACTGGATGGAAAAGGGTTGTATACTGTCAGTCACCGACAGATACAGAAACCCACGATTTTGGAGCGGAAAGGTGCAGTCTGGTCTACCAGTAATTAAAGATCTTACTCAGAATGCACTGCCACCAGTCATCAGTATACAGGAGTTCTTACATGTTTTGGAGGATCTAAACAACCTTTATGCATCATTACAACAGAAATGGTCATTGGGAAAAAATGCATTTTGAGACTATTAATTGAATGAGTTTCTGAATGGAATTTCCTTAAAGCAGAAGTGGATAAAACAACATGGAAACTATTTCTCAAACAAGGAAAAAAGGCTTTAAGGAAAGACTTCAAGAAAAGCCTACCTCAAAAGGAGATGTATTTCTGGGGGCAGGAAAAGAGATTACTAAGCAAAGGAATATCCAAACACGCCAAAAAGTGTAGAAAGAAAGTGCAAAAGGTGCTAGACCATGCAAATAATATGAAAATAAACAAGTTTTTCAGCTTTATGCATAATGCGCGAACACAGGAAAAAGCGAGACCCACATTCAGTGAAGGCAGAAAAGAGGATCACAGGTGATTTCCCGTGGCTCCAGAACCAAAATAATAATTAATTTCATTTTTCAATAACGACAAAAATACAGGTCATCTGGTGCTAACTTCCTACCTTTTGCTACATAGGTTTTCTGTGTTGTTTTAGATTTTTTAAATCAAGTAAATACTGTATGCCACATCCAGCCAAACTTCAGTAAACAATGACATTGGGCAACATATGAAATAACCACTGAAAGTGGAGAGAATAGGGAACAGTATAAAAAAATATGACTAAAATGCTCAACAGGAGATAGCAACAGACAGTGGAAAGAAGGTCGTATCCTATTTGATGGAGGTCACTAATGGCTCGATTGTGTAAGAAATTTTAGTATTTTTCATTAATGACTGGAACCAAAGTTGAAATACATTAATAAAAATCTGCTGGGGGGTGTGATCAAGACAACACATGGGAAGAACTGAATGACCTTGAAGACAAGACTAATGGCAGCAAGGTGAAAAAAACAGAGTAAAATATAAAGAATGTACACTTGAATATTAATCACTAAAAGTTTTGGTATATTTTGGGTGTCAGGCAGAAGGCAGTAGGATCAGAACCTCAGTAAATTATGTAATTAAGAAAATGACCAACAGCCAACAACATGATGTAGACACAGAAAAAGCAAACATGCCTGTACATTATTTTAGTTTAAATGTTTTTCAGAAAGAGAAGTTTCAATGCTATTGCAAAAATTATTCCTTATGTAGTCTTACAACTACTTTATCCAGCTTTTTTTAAAAAATGTATTCAGGAAAGATGAACATTTATCTTAACTTGACACTCAAGGGAACATAGCATATATGAGAAGAAGCTAATGAAATTTGGCTGGATTACCTTAAGAAATGAGACAGAGGAACATTCTCTATAAGCTGATCAGAGGCTAATACCGATTAAAAAATAGACCAACTAGTTATGTATTTGCCTATTTACTTAGTAATTGTTTTGAACACTCATGCCAAAGATGATAGAAAGGTAGTTCTTGGCAGAGAAAATGTACAGTCACTCTATGCTCACCAATTGAAAGACATAGAAAGATCATAACAAAAACAAAAACCAAGGGTCTAAAGAGTGGCTAGAAATCTCAGTTCACAAATTAAAAAGCAATGCAGGGTATAGATAGTCTTGACTTTCTCCCAGTGCAAAGTCAGAGTGGCCAGGTGATCTGTAAATGCTTTAACCATATATGATTTGGTAGACCTTTCCTCCCGGAGTAAATTAAAATAAAGGCAGAATTGCCAAGATCTTTATTAGCTATGATTTCTTAATTCCTGTTTCACTGTGGGCTACCAGCTAGAATCTATTAAGTTGTGGGCCAGCTCACTCTTAAATTAACACTTGATAGAAATTAGTCTGTCAATTATTGATTGGTTATTAACATAATTTTTTTAAAGAAAGGTGACGGAAAAAATGCACTTCAGTGCCCAGAATTATTCACAATTATTTTTAAATTGGGTTTTCTTTTATTTTTTAATGTCTACCTATGCCTTTTGATATATTTATTAAAGTTACTTCTGCCATTATTTTAAGATCTCGCAGAGGTAGTTGTCTCGAAAATATTTTACTGATTCCTTGGACAAAACCAGAAGATTCTCTTTTTCACACTTCTTAGCTACAGAAAACCAAAAGGTTAAATCGATTCATTCTCAATCACTAATGCAAATTTCAGAATAGCTTTCAGGCTAGGGTGTCATCAATTCATACTGAACTCTTCAACTTCTTCTAACTAGAGCTGAACAAAACCATTTATATGCACACCCCAGGGCCTGGGAGAACTAAAGACACAGAGAAGAAACTATTTTATCTAAGATCAAAATATGCCAACCAGCAGGAGATAGCACTTTACGTTTTTGGCAAAAAGACTAAAATCAAAGCAAACTCCTATCCCGAGGTACTTTCTCCAGCTCAGCTTCATAGCTGGACACAGTTCTATGCAGGAGTGCTGTTTCAGTTTGCTCACTCATGAATGGAAGCTAGGCACAGCTTTTTCCAGATGCAAACACCAGCTTCTGGAATGCAGTCCCACTGGGCACGTGGCCAAGATACAAACTGCACACTTTCAGAAAGATATGTCTTTGCTCAGAGCCCTGTTAACTGTATGCCTGGTAGCGTCCAGGACATGTATGTATGAACAGTATACACTTATCAATCTCCTGCTGGTATACAGGAGTATGTACGTCCTCTCACACATACTGCTTCTGGAGGAGCTCAAAATCACTTGCTTCCAGGGTACTAATCCCGATGAAACAGCCCATCCTTGACATTTATATCATATGTAGTTGTGTCGACTTAAAATGGACCATACTTAAGCATATTTTAAATGTTTTTACCTGTTAAGTCAATTTACAATTACTAGTAATATTAATAAGCTGTAAAGCCTCCTGCGGTAGTATGTTGTGAGGGTAACACAGAAAAACATATCACAAAAATTGTGGGATTGATATTCAGATGATACAAATTGTCACAGTTCCAATCAGTCCAGATGACGATCTTACCAGTGATAACCACAGAAAGGGAAGAGATAAAAAATGCTGCAAGATTTGTATTATGAAAAATTGCTAGTAGGGAACAAGAAAAGACTGATGCATTTGCAGAGTGAAAAATAAAACTCAACAGCTGTCTGTGCTATATATTTTATGATGGTAAATACAGGAAATTTTCTAATGTGATTGACCTGGGAGCTTTCAAAAGCTCTGGAAAATAACATGCACTGCTCAGGTAACTGTGTATTTTTAAGATATATGAAAGAACAGAATACCCTACATTACAGTAAAACGTAGATACAGAAATGACCCACTAGTGACTCATTTAATTTCATATTTTACAGCCTGATAAGGCTTTGAAAGGTTAAAAAAAGCATTTTCGCAACACATTACTTCAGAACTTATGCAAATCCCTACTAAGGTTTCAAGCAGTTAGATATTCTAAGAAAGATATTCTAAATATTTAACGTTGTCATA